GGCATTTTGGCAGCAGCAGTGGCTGCAGATGTTCTCAGAATGGGAGGTTTATGCTGGCCGAGGGGGTCTGTTAGCTCCTTCTCTGTTAACTTTGAGTGTGCACCAGGAGCCTGCTGGAGGGCCTTCCAGAGGGGGAGGCCGATGCAAAGGGTCAGCACACCTGGAGCACAAGCACCTTGGCCTGGGAAATCCACCTTTGTGAGTATGGTGCGTCTCTCTTGGAAAGCAAGCAAAGATATTTATGCAAATCCCATCGTTTTTAGTTGAGGATAGCAAGTGCGATGTCGTGTGTACACACGTGTGACAGAGGGCATTTCAAGCTGCAGGTCTGTCCTGTCGCTTTCCCATCGCACCCCATGTTTCAGTAAGAGAAGTTGATTCTCAAACTGAGTTGCTTCTTTTGTTGAGTTAAAAAAAAAATTAAAAAAAGGAAAATTAGCTTCAGGTCTTTTGAAAAATAACATCCTATAATTTGAGTCCATGTACCTACAAATTCCCAACAGGCTCCGAGCCAAAGAAATCCACAGATGAAATAAACATTTAAAAAGATGACTGCATTTTGAAATCTAAGAATTGAGTTATATACCTTTTTGACAGCTTCCTGAATCACAGCCCATATCTAAGATGAGTAAATAGGTATCTGGCCCTTTAACTGGGCTCCATTTCACATAATTAAAGACTCCCAGAATTAAATGGCCTATATGGAAAGTGGCTTTCAGTGGTCTAAATGCCTGAAGCAATCTCCTTGCCTGAGCGTAGAAGTGACACTGGCTTGCGGATCAATATCATCTCTGTTATTAATATCAAAAGCGCATTACTTTGTTTTTGCCTGGCTGCGTTCCAAGCCCTGGGCCCAGCTCGCGTTCAGCCATTTGCCCGGACCATAATTTACTTTCGTGAGTTTTTAAGGTATTGTTTTGTCAGGGCCAATCACCATGAAGTTATAAATGATTCTGAGGACTTGCACTCTCTGTTAGTGGCATATGCGGTGAAATTAATTTTTAAAAGTTTCACGTCAATTACTCCTGTCCTTGAGTTATGCAAGGGGACAAAAGAGCAGGGACTTAAAGACATGAGTGATATCAAACAGATGAGGTAACGACAAACAGAAACAGCAGCTTGGGACCAAATCAGACATTACACTATCTTTAATTGATGCATTGAATTAAACAATGCTAAAGCTAAATAAATATTGACCACTTAGCAAAGGACCCATTGATTTTTATGATGGACAACATTTACATCACATACTGCTCTGCTCTACAGATTTCAGGCCGCCAGCCTGTCAACTACGGCACGGGTGCTCGCAGGACTGCTGGTGCTGCTGCTGCCTTCCTTTCTCATATAATCGAGGTAAACGTTTACAGTTTTCCCCCCTTTTTGTTTCCAAGGGTTGTTTATTTTTGGAGGCTAGCAGCGCTAGCTGCGTTAGCCAACAAATACTGAATTTTGCCCAGGTAGTATTTATAATTTTGAGATCAAAGTAAAGTTTTGCAGTGCCTTGTGTGGCTGCAGACTGCTGCCACGGGTCAGGACACAAGCTAGGTGTATTCAGCAAACATCTACCTCGCTGCTGGGCTGAACGAAGGGAGGGCACATGCCCGGTTTCTGTGAGGTGCCAAACGTTCCCTGCATTGCAGCGGACTGCTCCACAAAGGCAGCAGCTCCCTCGCACCACTAACAGCCCCGTGCTGCTGCCTGGGAGGGACTGGTGGTGTTGGGCACCCTCGAAAGGGGTGACCTTCCCAAGGGCTCCCTATGCTGAAGCTGACATGTTAATATTCACTCTATTAATATTGATTTAGTTATTTAAACATGCCACATCTTCACGATATGATGCCTACTTACTTTGGAAACAAACTCGGACAACAAAATAATTTGTTTACAGAGCAGGAGTTCGCATCTCTGTGAGTGTTAATGGTAAAGCTGCAGAGCTAAGCTGTATTAAATAATATTAAAAAGCTGAATTTGTAGTTCTTTAGCACGAAATGTGCTGCTAATTGTGAAACTTAACTAAATGCCAGTGATTAGCATTTAATATTTTCATACGCACTTAGGAAGTCCTCATTACTCTGAGTATTCTCACCGAAAGGGAAAGTGCGAGGTCTCTTCCTGGCAAGACAAGGATTTCATTAAGAAGGACAAGTCTCTGTGCTTAGTAATGCCAACTCCGGTTACATACAGCTTCCTGTGTCTGCAAGGATCGCCAAGACACCAGTTAATAGGTTATTGTTTCAATTAGTCCATGATTACAGCTGCTAATCTCTAATTCCTCATTGTTGTGGCTCCTTTTGACTTCACTCCAGTTATTAAGAAGCATTTGGATTTTATTACAATTGACAGGAACTCCAGCCCTCTCCGTAGATAAAAACGCTGCCTGTTGCAGAAGAAATTCAAAATTAATGAAAAGAGCCTTTCGAGTTTGTTTTTAGGGATTCTTAAAATTACATCATAAACACAGTGTAGAATTCAATTAAGCTGGAAAATTATAACGCTCAAGGGGGGAGAGACTGGCTTTCTTACAAAGATAAATCAAAATGTCTTTAATTAGTTTTCACTTACAAACAGAAGGCTGGCTTTGTAAAATGAAAAACAAAATTAAAAGAAAAAACCAACAACCCACCAACAAAGAAAAAGGTAAAGGAATTATTGATAACAGCAGGCTAGAGAGACGTGAAGCATCCCTGTCCTCTGTGCACCCCTCCCAGCACAGAGATCCGTGTGGCGCGTTGGGTTGACCTCAGAAATCTCAGTGGTGCGGTGTTGCTGAGCGCATGGTGCAGGTGCTTGTCAGAGCCTCGACTGTTAGCAGGCTGCAAACTGTGTGGGGAGCAGCTGGGAGCACGTGGTAACGAGGTCGAGGTCTTGTGGCTGATCTCAGGTCCGCAGCTGGCTCAGTTTGCAAATGGGAGTAAAGGCTGGAGAGCAGCAGAGAGCAAAGCAGCATCATCCAAACAGGCACAGGCAAGTTCTCAAGGTTAGCGTTCACTCTGACTGTTCCAGTTGTTGTTTTCTTTCTTTAACACGGTGCTGGGGGCTTTAATTGGTGTTTAATCAAAACTCCCCAGGTCCTGAAGGCTCAGGATGGATTTGCCTTACAGTGGAGAAGGAGCCGCCCTCCGTGCAGAACTAAGTTAAGTTTCTGGAGGGACCCAGAGGTGCCCTCAGCCATGCACCTCTGAGGGGCTGGTGGGATGCTTCCCCCCAGCAGGCTTCAAAGTGTTTGCACCTGGTGTGGCCTGAGAGTTAATGTGATGGGAGATCATGGGCAAGAATGTGGGGAGGGATCTAAGAGGGTGAAGTCTTAAGCCACCAGGAAGCTTGTCGGGATGACTGGAGGAACACAGTTCAACTTGCATAACGTTTCTGATGCTGTACCAGAGCTCGTAAAGAGAGAGCAGTCATCCTCTTGGAAACCTGCAGTTCCCCTGCACAGAGAACCCAGCACCAGGATGTGGGTTTTACATCCCATGCAGCACATTAGGGATGATGGGCAGTTGGTGATGGACACCTTCCTGTCCTGAGCTCTCCGCAGTGTGAGTGAAGAACATCAGTGCGGGGCTGTTATTCCCTGATGTCTTCTGCCAGGAGGACGGGGCTGGCCACCCTGCAGGGCTACAGGGCCCTGCTTTATGGACGCAGAGGTCCCTGGCTGGTGTCTCCTCTTGCTGGGAGCAGGCTGATGGCATCGCTCCCGGCTGCGCTGACGTGGCAGGTCACTGTCCTCGCGTGGAGGATCTCCAACCCCGGACCTGCAGCAGGAATTTCCATCCATGATTAATTTTTATTGTACTCAGGACTGTCGATGAGAGAGAGGGAGAAGACACCGTCTTCAGAGTGAGCGCTGAAGCTCCCTGCATAGCTCTCAGTCCTGGTGGAGGAATGAGACCGCTTCGCCCATCGGGGCAGGGTGGGAACACCAAGCACCGTCTGCTCTCCCTGCCCCCTTCCCAGCCTGCTGACGCCCCCAGATGCAAACATGGCAATTTAAAAACATGTAAAAATCATAAATGAGAAAGCAGCTGTGTACAGCTTCAGCAAAATGCTAAATTGCTGTATCACCGTGGACTCTAAATGACAATAAACCTTCCACCTCTCATAAATTAAGCAGACTTTCAAAAAAATGATATCTACTACTGCAACTTTTTATGGATGTTTGGTAACTTTAATCATTTTGCAAAATGCAATTCCTGGTCATAAATTCTCTCCCAAGTACAGATTTAGGGAGAGCTAAAGCACTGCAGCGAGTTGATAGGTAAGTTTTAATCTGACAGTGCCAAAAAGTCTATTAGATTTATCCCGAGGCAGCGGCTGCCCGGTAATTACAACGGGGCAGACCGAGCAGAGGTTCTTAGTACAAGGAAGGTGACTTCTAGGGTGTGTCCCAGGTTCAGGAGATGAACTTGGAAATGCTCTGTACGTGATTTTAAAGATTCCTGATCCCACTTAATTTGTAAAAACTCGGAATTCAGTGAAAGGCAACCCACCTCGGGGGATGGCTGGAGCATTCTGGCACCTGGAACAAGCATCTGGTAGCCAGGCAAGAGAAGCAACACGCTCCTCCTTTCTTGCTTCTACAAACATGACTTTTCTCTATCCACATGGCTGGGATTTGCCACCTTGCAGTAGTGTGTGCTGTGTTTTTTTGTAGCACTGGTCATTCAGCGATCTGAAAACACAAACTGACATTGTCAGAGGCTGGTTTAGTTATTCCCATTATAAGGACGGGCTGTTTGGGGCAGACACTGCTTTGCCCCAGTGGAGTGGCAAACTCAGGAATGAAATCTAGATTTTTCTCTCTCCTTTGTGCAAAGCTTGGAGCACTCTCCTGCTCCAGGCACGGAATGGGAACACGCTGATTGTCCATGCTGGGGCACAGAATGAGGTTAGGAAGGAAGCGCAAAACCTGCTGTCTGGTGTGCTGCTCCTTTGTTCAGTTGTTGATTAGCTGTGAATTAATTCAGAACAACTAAAATCAATGGAAATGTGTGAAGCAGGAATGAAGAGGGGAGAAGACTTGTGTCCGATCCTGGACTGGGAGCTGATGTCCCCAGTCGGGTTTTGCGGAGCGGTGCCAAGTTGTCGCAATGACCCCAGGTACGTGGCAGTGGAGGCATCTGTTCTGCAGCGAGCTCTTCCTTCTGCCTGCTCTGTGTGAGCCCTTCTGCTGCTTTCCTCACAGGATAAGGGGGAAAAATGACCCAGTTCCTGAAGGATGCTTTGAATGCTGCTTCTAAATGTTGCTCGTTCGCAACTTAACTGCAAAAGCAACGCTTTGTGTGCTGTGCGGGGGGTCAAAGCCCTTGGGTCTTACCATGGAATAAACTGGGAGGGGAAAAGAAACCCAGGTCTCCCTGAATCTGTATTCCTGGTACGAGCTGTTCTGGAAAGGTCAGCTCGAGCCCTTCGGTTTGAAGGCATCCAATAGCTGAACGAATTCCAATCACATTTTAGCTCCTCTTGGACACTGGCACCATTTGCATGAAGAGCAGGTATTTAATTTTGTACTAAAGCAAGTAGGATGTGCTTTAAAGAGGTGAGTGAAGTCCCTCCTGAAGTGAAGCGAGAGCTGCAAACTTTTTAATTTGGCCGTAAGTCTCGTCTGCAGGATGAGGACAGGAGCACGCAGCTGCCAGATGTCAGGGGCTTGAGTGGTGGTGCTGAATGGCACCAGACCACTCCTGCCAAATCAATTAAATAGGGCATTTGTGATTAATCTCCTTGTTGGAAACCTGATTGCATCTATTGCTGCTCACCCTTTCTGCAAGAGTACTATAAAGATTTATTTTTTTTTCAGTATGAGAAATGATTTCAGGAACTGAATTTTTGTTGTTTCGCTTTTTCAGAAGCCAGCTGTTGGGTGGTATCACGGGGTGGCCTCGCTGACCGTGCCTCCTTTCCCTACGCACTAAGTCTGTCCTGTGTGCTCTACTCAATAAGCTTCACATAAACTGAGCAGCAGCCTGTCCGTTTAACAAGAAAAGCTCGAGTAGTCAGTATCTGAGCTGAGAAATGCAGGTGAACCTCTGATGCTATCAGAACAGGGACTTTTCCTGTTTATACAACTGTACTTTCTGCATTTCAGATTTTTTTAATTTAACTGTTACCTCATTCTGTGGTGTTTTTTTTCTTCTTTTTTTTTTTTCAGAGTACTTAGGAACATTTTCTTATTACGCTGTAGTGGGGGGTTAATAGCACCGCTGAATCCAGCCCGTTGTTGGCATTGCAAACTCGCCTGGGGAGAGGAGGCTCGTCGCACGGCTGCGTGCGGAGGGAGGGCTGGAGAGCTTTTCCAGCATCACTTCTATATTTAGACAAAGGCCTTTTTGCTTAGTTTTATCACCGTGTGGGTACGGATCATGTTAATATCAAGTTACATGTGCATATGGATAGGAGAGCATGCACTCAAAGCTGGCTTTCTGTTCAGCTCCAGGGGCAAAGCCACATCTCTGAGCACTTACAGAAAAGGAAACCAGAGCTCCTAAACTCACCTGGGGGAGACGGTGTTTGCAGTTATATACAGGATCATTTGGCTCAGGAGCAATTCTACCTTCGAGTGACAATTTGAGGTGACATTTCAGATACTGTGGAAGAAAAATCGCTTTCCTGGATAAAAAAAAAAAAAAGAATGCTATATAAAAGCAAGGTATACATGCATAGTATCAGCATTAGTCAAATGAAATTAATGCTTCCAATATGTTTCAAAGCTTACTTATATGCATCAACCATTTATGAAACTGTAGCTCATCAAGTAGGAATATTGTAGTTATATATTAGCAAACTGTCTGCTGGCCTTTCTGATACCTTATTGCTCTATGCACTAGGGTAGCATTTTTAGGGTAAAGTTAACCTCGGTGAAATATATCACGGTTCGCTAATGTATCCTCAACTGCCTGATAAAAGGCCTTGCCCCCAACAACATATGAATATTTAAATTATTGTTAATTATTTATAGTATATTTTTATTAACACTGACTTGCAGCATGGCCAAATAGCAGATCAAGCTCATTATGTTCCAGTGTTGAACATGCAAAAACATGCATCTCCCCAAACCTTACTGCTGCTGAGTAGAAGATAATGCTGACACTTCCCTGGTCTCACTGTTTGCTTTCTGTGAGAGTGAATCTGGAAGAAGCTCTCTGGAATCAGGCACTTGTTGACGTGATCGTTTTGGAGAGAGATTCTGATATTTGGGTGCGTTTTAAACTAAAAATTACCATTTCTAATAGGAGCATGTGGAAAACTCTCTCCCTCATTTCATGGCACTTAGAACATAGCTCCTTTCTGTAATTTGTGCGGGCAGGCAGATGTGTTGAAGTACAGCATCTCAGCACCTGACTGGGGACAATTAAAACAAAAACAGGAAACTGTATGTCTGTTTTTTACCATTAAAGCCCCAAGTGATGCATCTTACAACCCCCTCATCAGAGCACCTAGTCCACAGCCTCAAGTTTTTCATTAAATTTAACCTAGGATACCCTGGTTTCATTTTATCTCTTCTTTCATGGTGTGAAAATTCATTTCTCCTCCTTGATAATCAGATACGTCCTTTATTTGCCACTTATTTGTCAGCTCTTTAACCACTTCCTGGCTAAGCTAAAAGTGTCGTTCTGCATTTCCCATGATTTTTTTGTGGTTGTCCTTTCAGCTCGTTTTTCTGCTGATCCTCTGCATTCCCTGTCGGTGCAGCAGTGAGAATTGGCGACTTGGTCTACAGAAATACCTGGACAGACAGGTGTATTACTGAGGACAACGCATTACACACAAACTAATGCAGCATTCCATATGAGCTAACAAGAAATCCCTGTAAGGTCGGATTTAAGTCCCTCTGGTCTGTAACACAAGGTGATGCCTCTGCATATGTTGACAAGATTTCATTAGCCTTTTCTGTAGCCGTATCTTCTTGCAAAACCATATCTAATCTTCGGTTTGCTGTCTCGGCTAGATCTCTTTCAGCGCTGCAGCTCCTTTGGATCTCCCCTCTCTCACTGAGTGTCTGCATTGTGGATTATTTTCCCTGGAGGTATTAGTGTATATTTTTCCATATATGAAGATAATAAATGGAAGAAGCGGAGATGAAAAGAAAAACAATTACTTGAGAGCAGAAATAGAAAGAGATACAAAGAAAAGACTGACAGGGAGATAAGCAAAGAAAAATCAAGGAAGAAGAATATGGAAAAATGAAAAAGGAGTTAAATAATCAGAATAAATTAATTAATCAAAGTGCAGATCATGTGGACTAGAATAGCAAAGCAGCAATACAGCGAGCTAAAAGGAGAGAGGGATAAGGATAATGAAGGATAAGTTGAAATGTAATATATATTTTCAAAATAATGCATTTGAAAGCTCTGTTTGACTCGTTAGACCTGACTTCTAGCAAGGCACTCAGACTCTGGGGATTCTAAAGCTTGTGACAAGGGGTTATGAGAAACATCGCATTTTTCCCTTAACAAAAGCCGTGATTCTTATTACGATCATGTTTTTGTTTGCAATTCAGACCTCCCAGATTTGTACGGCGGTGACTCAAGAATTTCATCCTCGTATCACAGATATGAAAATGTGGTCTCGGAAGGTTAAGTGGACTGGCAGAGGTTAGAGAGGAGTCATTACCAGGAAACACGGATTTCTAGTCTCGGGGTCAATCACCTAACCCCTAAGTTCCTGCAGTGCAGAAGTTAGAGAACAGGAATTCTCGTCGATTCTCACGCCTTCTCCCCATAGTGTGGATGCTCTTTTATCATAGGGGTTAATTACGGTTTGCTGACCTCTCCTTCTACCTTCTTGCTCCTGATACGTGACCGTACTGCATCCACATCACCCAAACAAAGTCCTTGCCTAAATTGAAGGTGGTTGCCAGAAGTGTTCGGTTCGTTTTTCTCCTGGGGTGGCTCTGAGAGCAGGTAGCAGGCAAAGCAGCCTCCCTTCTGCAGCAACGGGGTGTCTCAGAGCCCTGGTTTGGGACCCAGCAGCCTCAGTGCTGGGGGCAAGGAGCCTGGAGCAAGCCCCAGTGAGCTGCTGGAAGGGGCTGAGTGGGGGGGAACAACACCATCAGCAAATGGAGCTGGCCGGGGGGAGCGCAGCGAGGGCTTGGTTCAGTAACCAAGTTGCCTCCATTCAAAGAGCTAATGTACGAGATATTACTGCTCAAGGCATTCTCACTATTGCCAAGGGCTTAATATGATTTGCATAGTGCATATGGGTATTCCTGGGGGAGAATGACAGAGATCATTAAATGAAAACAAATAATAAACAAGCTCCTTACGGCCCCCACAGGTACATAAATATGACTGTACGTGGGGCACAGAGGCGAAGATAAATGGCTCGGTGTGCGGAGGGTGAGGAATCCGCAGAGCAGACTTCATTTTTCCCCTTTCTGCCCGCAGACAATGCGTTCGCTTGCCGCTAAGGAGGGTCAAGTGACTGTCACGGGCTCTGCACCGAGATGTAACCTGTGTCGCAGCTGCCAGCCACGCTGGCTTGAAAAGGTCAGCTCCCCAGACACAGGTGGTAATGTCACAAGTTAAGTGCACGAGGGCCTCTAAAGTGCCTGGGAAGCAGCAGGCGAGTGCGTGCAGCCAGCGTCCAGCCCCACCGAAGCAGCCAGTTGTCTCGAGGCCAGCTGAGGAGGTGCCTGAGAACCAAGTGGGTTTGTGTCTGCAGCAGGGCTGTGCATGATTTCCTCCCTACAAGATGCTCGGGATCCCAGGGAATATCCTTGAGCTGCTCAGGGAGATCAAGGACACCGGGAGGCTTCCCGGGTGTCGATGCTGTGGCTCTGTTACTCTGCGTTATGGGCTGCTGTGGTTCAAATCAGACTAAAGCTTAGGAAATTCTTTGTAACCGTGACCTTTCCCGTGACTCAGATCACAAAGATTTTCTGTCACTTTGGTCTGGGCTAGATTTGAAATTATGTCTTAGAAGTGAAAGACACAGTGAATGAATCAAGAAGATTAAGCTGAATTATTGGCTCCAGCCTTGTAGTTACTCTGTTTGCTACAGGAGATCACAAATAAATGGAAGAGGTTGGTTTGTCATAGCCCGCAAAACAGTTCAACATTTCTTTAATTAATTACAAATATCACTGAACTGCACCTGATTTCTGGCTGGGTTAGCAGTGGGAGGTCATCTCACACCTCACAGGCATCCAAGCCAGCACCAAATCAGCTTCATATCAGAATGGTGCAAGTTCTCTGCTAGCTTTACTGTTCAGTTAAATAGATATTTGTAAAAGATGTTCAGAGAGGAGAACATTTTTGTTGTTTTCCAAAGAGAAAGGGTAATGTTTATTCTTGGTGTCTCACAAGAAAGGCTCATCAATTGGTTAGGAAAGAGAAATCTGCAATATCAGAGAAAGTTTAAAAGGTATTAAGCTTACTGATTCCAAAACCTAATTGTGACGCTGCGTGGAAATGGAGATGAGGCTGCAGCTTTTTGGTGCCCGGCGCTGTGCCATGGAACCTCCTGGGGATCTCCTTCCATCATCTCAGGCTCTTACCCTCTTTTTTTTTTTTTTTAATAGGTGAACCCAGAACAAAGCTTGCAGCACCAGAAGAGAACGTGACACGCAGCCCGTGGTGCGGGATGCCGAGAGCAGCGCAGCCCCTGCCGCCGCCGCTCAGCACCTGCGGTGCTGCAGCTGGAATTGGGGTGTCCGCCGCGCTGACAGTTTGTCAGAACTGCAGCCCCTGGGGACTTCCCAGATGTCACGGCAGGATCAGACTTGAGAGTCGTTTCTGAAGATCCTCAAACAATAACAGCCGAAGCTGTCAGTAACTTCGCTAGCTGCAGGTTTGGATTTTTTCCTTTGTGCTTCTACTTTCAGCCTGCAAAGCGGACTTGTGTGGGTTGTAAGGGAGTTACTGCTGTGGCCAGGTTCTGAAAGTTATCCCCCCTTCTTTCTGACTCTGGTTTCTCGTTTGAAAGTTTGGGAACACACGGACATACCCACAGTGCATCACCTGCGAGCTGGGTGGTGCCTGTACGTAGAGCATCAGAACTGCAGAGCTAAACCTGCCCGAAAACTCATTTAAAAATAGGTGAGAATTTTGGGAATTTCCTAGTTGTTCAGAGAGGGAAGATCTAATCATACAGAGCTAATTTAATCTACACATCTAATCTTTGAGCTTTATTTCCCTAGTTCCATTGCCTATGCTGAGGGAGCTGGACCTGTCAGTGACCACCTCCAAATGCTCTGGAGCATCAGCGATGTTCTTGGCTAGAAGCCACAGCTGCTGAGAACCACAGGAAACTGTTTTGGTGTCATGTAGGTAGTGCTTAGCTCTCGGATCCCCATACTTCTGTAGGGCCAAAGATCAGGGTACCTACAAGTAGCCTGATTTCTTCGTGTTTAGTTTGGTTTAGGTTCTAAAGTACTAGAAAAACCAGACTACAAATGGATATTTAAGTGTCTGAAAAAAAGTGTCAGGATGTTTAGACAAAAGAAATGTTCTGAGTTCGTTGGGAAGCTGGGACCATCTTTTGGGAACCCTGAGGGTTAGCTGATCACCCTAGGACATCCGGCAGTTGTGGCTCAGCAACCGACTTGTGTCCAGGTTAGAGTACAGCAGTGGAAAAATCGAACTTGTAAGAGGTCCCAGATACTATCAAAAAGGGACTGAAGCAGGGTTGGAACCTGCTAAATGAGAGGTGGGAGACGCAGCAGTGACCTGGCTGGGCTCGCTCCTCTCCAATGACACTGGAGCACGTCCTGCCTTGTTTTCACTTCTTCCACGTTCATGGTTTGTCCTGAAGGCTGGATGGGTTGAGGCCATTCCAGCTGGAAGGCTGTGAATGAAGGTTCATCTGAGCAGAGAGCACCCCACCAGTGCGAACCAAGTGCAGCAGGCTGCTCTGTTTAATTGCCCCTGCAACTTTTTTTCCCCTGTCTTCTCATTTTTCCTAGGTTGGCATTTTTGTGGATGAATACCACTGGGAGTTAAGGACTTGCTGTGACTCTCACTCTTACTTAGAGGAGTTTTGCCTGCAGCAGTCACATAGTTGAAAAATACGGATCCATGTGACTGCTAAGAGACCACTGAGAAGCCAAGTAAGTAGGACTCATGGCCATTTTGCAATTCCACCTCATTAGACATGTTTTGGGGCTTATGATTGTGCTGTGAGGATAAATAAGTATAAATATTATATTTGCCTCCAGGTTATCTTTAAAAATGTATTTCTCTCTCTCTGTCTCCCTCCCCCTTTTTTTTTTCTTTTTTTTTTTTTTCTTTCCAATTTTCAGTGTAGTCTGTCAGCTCCTGGGTAGGTGAGTTATCAGCTCCGTGGTCTCACAGTATGGTGGCCCAGCAGAAGGTTTTGTGTTGCACAGGGTTGCCTTGTGCTGCCAATTACCCAAGGCTCTGGACAGCAAGCTGTACGGCAGTGTGATTAAGTCCGTGTGCAAGTCCAAATTTGCATAACCCCAAAACTCCTGTTAGGAAAGTATTGCGAAGAATATTTGACTCGTCCTCGCCCTACGTTTTCAAAATATAAAATAAAAGTGTGATCATCTTTTTATTTTTATCATTTGAACAACTTTGTGAATTACCTTTGAGATGCAGAGGAATAGTACACTATGGAAAAACTTAGCTAAATACATACCAAAAGTGGTGTTTTCACACAGCTCTCGTCTTTCTTTAACACGGAGTGCAAATTCTCTTTGTCTAACACAGTGGCTCAGCTCCCCACCAGCTGCAGAGCTGGGAATCTTTGGTGGAGTCAGTGGGATTATGCCAATCCACGCCAGTTGAGGACCTCATCTGCCTCGCTTCAAAGTCGTGTGTTTTCAGAAATGAGTGGACACATTCCTGTAGGAGAAATCCACGGAATGCTGTTGAGCAAAAAGACGCTGCCTCTGATGTAGGATGTTCTCGCACTGGTTGCTGGAGATGGGGAAACATCTGGGCAAAACAATGTTTCTGTGGGTTTTGTGGTCATTCTTGAGTGGGTGCTATTACTGTTAGACACGTAGCGTACACAGCTTTAGCTTGGCTTGCTGAGTTCCCTCTCACATACTTTCTGATTTTGCTGTTGTGGCTACTGGCACTGGTTTTGGGACAGCTCTCCAGTCTGCTGCATGAGTTTTATAGTCTTGGTATTTCACAGTTTCACAGGTGTTAAGATGTCAGCACAATGTCACCAGCAGCTGTTCTTTACGTACAAAGGGACTGCACCGATGGGTAGTGTGATATGGTGGGGCAGAACATGGTCTGAGGAGCCAAGCAGAGTGACATCCACGTCCAGAGGTACCTGGCTTAGCATGACAGAGGGCACAGCATCGTGCAGATAAAATGTGCTGGCTGCCCCCCTTTTCCAGGAGCATCACCACCATCACAGTGCCACTGCTCTGCAAGCACAGCAAGCACCGGGTGCTGGCCCAGCTTTGGAAGGACTGTGTGTAGGGAGATGCAGCAATGTTCAGTTTTCACTTCCCTAAAGGTGCTCCTGCTCATTTTTCCCCTCCTTTTCCTACAAGTGCTTTGCCTGTACTCCACTGAGAAGACTTCAGATGCAGCATGGTTAATACAGGTTTGGTCTGGTGTAAACCTTACCACAGTCAGCTCCCGCGTTCCTTATTTCCATTTCTACACAGGTGGGAGCTTGGAAAAGTCATTTGACTCCCTTGCTTCAATGTAGCTTTAACTAAAACAGCATTTTACCTGGTGGCCTACCTTTCAGTGTACAGAACAAGTCTGTTGTGAGTGGTGCTGGAGCAATTCACAGGCCCTCAGTGCAACAGATGCTGTCGGTGAATGGAGGAGCCTGGAATTTGTGAGTTGGTCTTTCGAGCCAGCTGCTACGTGACGCAACAGGAGCAGTTCCTTTAAAGGAGAAACCAACACCGGGGTTTGTATAACTTACATGTTTATTTTGGCTCAGTGACGTTTCCAGGAGGTGATGCCAGGAAATACTGCTGCCTCTTCGTATTCAAATTTTAATAGGATGTTTCGTGTTTGGGGCTTGGGTGGTTCCACAGTGTGGGTCTGAATTACCACGAGGTGGCAGTGTGCAAGGTCCGGAGGATGTGTTGGTTAACACCACTTCACCTTATCATGTTGTCCAGGAAATAGAGCTGTTAAAACACCACACACAAGTGCTGAAGGCCTTCTGTTTTTACAAAGGCTTTCTCATACTCTTATATACCGGTAGTTTGTGCTCAGAAATTGGATGCTAAGTGTAACTACTGTCCATAAGGACTCTAATCCTTTACGGGAGGAGACAAAAAGGGTTTTAGAAGCAGCAACCATACCGTTCTCCATTTCCTTCCATACTAAGTAAAGCTTTAAAGGAGAACAGAGCCAAGAAGATTCCCTTATTTTTTCATGAGCAGATGCTGTCCAGAAGGCTTCACGTCTCTTTCTTTCACTGGCATACGAAGCAGCTCTGCAGAATGTCCACGCAAGAGTGGCTGGATGTAACCCCTGGCAAGATGTAAGTTACTCTCAGTAGCAGCAACCTTTAGCTGGCAGCCACGTACACACGAGGTTCGTGGTGGTCCTGTGGGAGCAGCATAATGGTATGCTGTTTGTGCTCAGACTGGGCATTGCTCTTCTAATCACAGAAAGCTTCCTCACAATTTTAGCAATGATTTTGACTCGGCGAAGGACCCTCTAGGTAAATAAAATTGAGATGCAGCTTGTAGCATTTCTGTAGTGTGCCTTCACGTTTCGACTTTGGCTGCAGAATCCCTTATTTTCGGTTTGTTCCAGTTTCAAGGTCTAGTTTCAGGTTTGAAAACCTCCAAAAAAATTAGTGTCTTTTTTGGTCCTCTTAGTGAAATAGGTACCGTCAGGCTGCGTGGCTAATGGAAGTGACAGTGTTTGGGGAGCTCTGTGGCATTGCACTGTAATACATTTGCATTTATCATCTCAGATTATTTCAGACGATTGTCTTTAGGAAGTCAGAGAACCTGCCCTAGGAGGTTCCTTGACTGAAGCCCGGCGTGCTGCCTGTGAATCCTGCAGGAGAAGCCACGTGGCTGTTTGTGTGTAGTTGCTCCTTGCTTCATGCTGTAGAAGAGGGACAGTCTCACTAAGCATCTGGGTGTTGCATTATTTGCTTTTTCATACCAAATACAATAGTTAAGTAAAATTTAGCGAAATTCTGCTTAGCTTCATGTGTTTTTCTTCAGACCTATAGTTCTTCACACAGATTTTTAAAGTTTCTTCCTCTGTCTTCAATGGATCTCAGCACTTTTCCATTGCACCCTTCTCCTCCTTATCTCCCAAATTCTCTTACCCGATCTACCATCCAGCTCCCACCCTGCCAATTGAATGATCCTACCATTAAAATGCTCCAGAGAGGAAACAATGAGCACTGGGGATGCTGGCTGGGCTGGTTTTCTGGCCACAAGCCTTGGAAGAAGCAGTATAAGAGGAGCAAGTAGTGAACGATACCGAAAGATTCAATGAGGTGTATTAAACTATCAGCAGCTGATTCTCAGCCCTACCTATTCCTGGAGAAAAAAAATTACATTCCCCAAAACTTGACTTCTTCTCACAGCTTCAGATAAAAGCATGAACTGGTTTCTTTTAATTTCCTGAACAATCACAGAAGGAGAATTTTGCAAACAGTTAAGATTGCAAATTGCTTGTTTGCCCGAGATAAGATTTATTCACAATTGTGCCTGCTCTTTGGAAACGGAAGGAGTTTTTAAGACATATTTTGAACAAGGTAAGCATTTTTTCAGATTATTCCCAGCATAATATGCCAAGGGGAATATGGTGCATTTGTTATTTCCTTAAAAAAAATAAAGAAAATCAATGGACTGAAACATTCCCTCTAGACCTATAATATTTATTTCAATGTTCTGTCAATAAATATAACAAGGTTAGTTTTCTATCAGGTTAGCTGGAAGAATCATTTGAGGGAAGTTCTATTTGGTAAGCTCGATTGCAAAAAGCAATCAATAAGAAAAAATTCCCTTGTTGTTATTGAAAAGAAATATGGAGCTCTGAGGAGTTGTCCCAGGACAAGTATTTATGTCTCCTCCCCAGGATCCTTCTGCTGGCATCTGAAGGCCGCTTTGCTGCCGCCTTCTCTCCTGCTCCCAAATGCCAAAAGAGGGAATTTGGGAATCTCGTGTAAAATCTTGACCATAGACTTCTCAGTTTCAGCGGGCCTCTGGAGGATAGCTCTATAAAAGTAACACCAAACTCATGATGCAGGTTCTCCGTTTGCTTGTCCTGTTGGAGAAGGGAGCCAGATGAGCCTGTCCTGCTGGACTAATCCTGCCTTGGCTTCGCTGCCTCCTGTTGAATGTGCCAGAGGCAGCGTCCTCGCTGAGTTCTGCGCTGCGGGCTCACCTCTGCCCTTCCTGGAGACGAGGCAGCGGGGAGGTAAGGCAGCACGCTGCGCATCGCAAAGTGCCTCCTGTCTTCTGTGCAGCTGCAATAGCCACTTGGCCCACCAGTGATGAGATTTGTCATAGCTTGGAATGAAGGCTGCAGAAAGTAACCCAGAATGAGAACAAACACCAACCACTTAATGAAAACGAGAAACAAAACTAGGAGGCTTCTGCACCCAGTCATGGTACTGCAACACTCTGAACCAACATCCCATATTTCTTATTAAGAACATTTTCAGCTCAGAATAGTTTTGGGGACAAAGAAAGACCCATTCAATGTGATTTCCCATATGAGGGTAATCTCTTGATTATTATCTGTGATTCCTGTGTATTCTGCAGTATCCATTGTAAGTTATTTATTGCTTTACCTATAACAGCAAGCTGCATGTTTCTAACCTGTCTGCGTTATATTTTACAATCCAGTTTTGATAGGAGCCTGCCTTTTGTGCAGTTTGCTATCACAGCCCTCCGAGGAATCTGAGGAAGTCACTTGGTTTCTGCCAGGTGGAGGCAGTGGCATTAAAGCCCCATTAAAGTATGGGGGGAAAAACACCAAAAAAGGGGTAAAATGATGAAATATTTTGTGGACCAGGTTTGTGGGCCAGATTGAGACTAACCCACTCTATACAGTTGGTATGGCTGAAAGGAAACCGGTTTTGGACAAAACGGTGATGCACCTTGAAACAAAAAATGGGAGAAAAAAAACAAACAAATGACTGCCGCTGGGTTTAGCGTTTAATAAACTGCTGTCACGGTTCATAAGGCTCTTGATCAGATACCAGCCCATTTGCACATAGTTCAGCCTTTTTTCCAGTCCTACCAGATTCTTGGTTTCTGCTGATTTCCTGGTTTCTGCTGCAGAACAGGAGTCCCAGCCCACGCAGCCAGACTCGGGATGCTGCCACGTTGGAGCAGTTAGGAAGCAGCAGCGTTGCCGGCCCGTTAGTCTGAGCATAGCAGCGAGCAAAGCCAGTTCAGTCAGTAGCTTCCTCGTGCATGTAAGTAGTGTGGATGAGCCTAATTGGCTTCAAGTTTTGCAAAAGCATTGCAGAGCTTGCAGGTGCATCTGTTGTCCTTCCCGGTCCTTACCGGATCATTTGAGAGCCAGCTCCAGTCGATTCAGTTCTTTCAGGCTTCGTGTTTTAATCTTCCAAAGGAAATCTCTGTAATTCTGCAAGGCAAACAAAGCAACAAAACTAAAAAGTCATGTTGCTACAGTCAAAATGCAGCATTTCAAAGTAATTTCTCTGCGGTGGCATCGTGCAGCAGGCATGAGGGAGACGCGAACAGAGTCCCCTTCCTTCACTCGGCTGGATCAACGCAGCGCATTGACAAGAGCCCACTCTTGTGGGAGCAGTTGGCCAAAATTGCTTCTATAATATATTCTGCAGCAGCAAGTAGGGAGATACTAGAAGCAGCCCAAAGGGATGGCCAGGGAACAATATAAAGGCTGAATGTAAAATAAATTTCTGTGACTATATGTAGTCACTGAAGTGGAGCTGAAAAAAAAAAAAAAAAAGAGTAGAGCTAATAAAGAAAAAAGCTAATAAAGATAGAAACAGTACTTGATAATACAAGTTTTCCCTTCAGAAAACAGTCGAAGGTTTTGGGGCGAATCCTGTTAATATAGCTACATTAACATTAATGCAGTGTCCCAAGGTTTTTCTTTTTTTTTTTTTTTTTAAATTGTATTTTATTTTTCCAAAGAGCTGTTGCGTGTAAAACATTGATTTTGTTGTTTGACACCTTGAGAACTGCACCAATTATGGATAGCTTTTGTGATTATTAATATCTTTTTTTCCAGATTTCTGCTGGTATTTAGAAAGAGAGGGATGAAAGAGACCAGGATCCAAACCTGCACGGTGTTGGTCACTGCAGACCTTTGTGCCATCCATGGACGTGAAGCAGCGTTGGGCCAGGAGCAACACACACAGGGCAGTGACCACAGGCAGGTGAGTGGGCTGACACTTGCAAAGAAGCTTAAACCCACGAGTTTCCCACATGCTAAAACCACTTTTTCTCAATGATTTAGTCTTCTCTGTCAGTAGAAGTCTTCTTCTGAGTGCTGGAATCCAAGCTGCCGTGGGAGCTGCCGTACAGAAATGTCTGGTAAAAGCAAGCCACTATTTAGCCTTTTTTTTAGTTTGCCATTTAGAGCAGATAAAGATCTTTACGATACATACGTTGAAGCTAATGCTAAGCAAATTGCCTTTCCTGTTCTGATCCGAGAGCTGAACCGTTTTTCGAAAAATGGTGATCACTCTCTTTAAAATCTCTTCTCTGTTAACCTAAGAATATGATTCAGAGTGACAGAGAAAAGAGAAACAATTTTCATAAGGTCGTGATCTTGTGGCCTGCAGAGAGCTGCGAGGTCACAGCCCACACAAACTGCCTTGCCTAGACAATTCAGGGAGACAGCGCGGAGAAATCACAGGGAAAAATCCATCATTTAACTCTCCATTTCAGGTTAAACTTGGTGTTTGACAGAGACCACCAATGAAATAGCCTGATAGTGAATACTTTACATTGTTTTTCATGAATCCTGTACAGGCAGTTAAAATTTGGCTATTACATAATTAAGCCTTTTTTATCAATGATGTTTTATATTTTTGATGTTTATGCAGTTACGCATTCAGGATGGGGGTGCAAACAGAGCTTAAAGCTTAAAAAAAAAAAAAAAAAAAAAAAAAGAAGTAGAAACAAAACTCTTTAAATCTTGGATTGGCCTTTCATATGTTAGCATTTTCCAGCAAGGTAGGAATTGTAGTCATGGTATTTCCAGGTTGCTTTTGAGTCGAGTCAGAGGATCCTCCTCTATGCCCCCAAGTGCGTTGTGAGCGACGAGGTGACATCAGCCTTGAATATTCTACTAGTATGTTAATTAAGTTGTAACTTTGGTTTAACTGAATATTTAAACTTGTAATTTTCTTAGAAGCCTGGTATTCCGACAACTGCAAATATATTTAGCAGAAAAGTGTTAACTCCGTATTTGCCAATACCATTAAAGATAATAAGAAACAAATCTATGCAGATGCCCTGTGCTACAGTGGATAAGTGATTTTCCACTCTAACAAAAGATAAAAGCCTATTCATTGAAGTGCAGCTAGAAATTATTTCTAATTGGTATGAAAGAATCCTTAAATCTGTATACTGCTTTTAACATTTTGGGCTTAAATTACAGTTAATAGTTCCCATAAAAGAGGTAATAGGAGAAAAACTAAAATTCAGAATCCTTGAACTCAAAAGGCATTCTGGATTTCCAGTCATAGCATCATCCCTCACGGTTTTTCTGTCAAAAAATAAAGCAACCGGGGAGTTGTTTATACAGACAGAAGGTGGCAAAATCTTTGCTGAATATCCTTCGTGTTGAGGTGAGCTTTCCTTCTCTGATCAGAAGCGGATGAATGTGCGGAGCCATATCCTTCAGATCCCTTTCTCCTCACCTGATTTTCCCTTTCTCCTAACCTGCAGGAAGCTTGGTGATGGGAACCTCTCTGCTCTTGGCCCAGGCAGCTGCTCCTGCTGGCTTCTGGACTTAAGACTTGAGTCTTCAAAAGGTCCCTTCCTGAAGCATTGTGAGGCTCCCAAAGGTATCCACTGTGGGCTTCACTGCTCAGCTTTGTAGGTTGTTGGAGCCAATAGAGCCAACCTGCGTGAAACATAAACTGGCAACAAACTACCACATGCCTTGGGCAACAAGCAGTGCTTTCTTGTTTTACATTGTTCATCTCCCGAGTGTCTCTCGGTGCTGCATGATATGACAAAAGGCTCATCCTTGGATGCCAAGTTCTTAGCACAGAATAAATTAACAAGAGCAGAAATTTCCACTCCCTTAAACTTCCACAGCACGCGGCTACTTCGGCTCGCCTGTGGCTGCTGGCCGCGTCGTGTTTGGTTTGGCTGAGCTCTGAGACGCTGCTGGCCCACGTGGAAAGGAAGAAGCAAGTGTGTACGGAGAAAGGATGGACCCAATATTAGCATTCCATGTTTGCCTCTCTGTCTTCCATTTCTACAGGTGAATATTAATGAGCAGCGGTACCTGGGCTCCTCGGCACTTTAATTACAGGTGAGATGCTCGGGGTTGCTGTTGCTGCTCCCCTGTGGTTTTAGCTGTGCTGTCAGGTTTCTCTCGAGATCATTACATTCCCTTTTTCATTAAGGCTTTGTTTATGCACAGCCTGCTCCTTGGAACTTAAAAGACCTATCCGGTTACCCCAATGCAAAGGCTGAATGGCACCCAGCAGAGGGGGGGCAGCCCTGCTCCCTCGTGCTGGGCTGCTTGAGAGGGGCTTAAGAGCCACTGCCCCTGCATCTCTGGCAGAGCACCAATAGGCCTGTTTTGTTCCTAAGGATTTACATAAAGCTGGTATTTGCAGTGTTTTGTCAGCACAGCAGAACTGCCTGTGGATTTTTGCACTTGCTTTTTTTCAGGATTTCACACAAAAAGGTACCAGCATTATACATTGCGATCTTGCTGTGAAGCAAACAGTCCATCGTATTGCACGCCAAGCCCCTAAGAAAACCAATGGTAATCCATTTGCTGTAAGATTTGCCTCTTTACCCTAAAGGTTCTTTTCATTAGGAAATAATTCTAAGCGGAATCCTTTATGCTTAAGAACTCTATGATTCTGGAGATTTTTCTCATAAGCACGAGCTAATGTGTACACGCAATGTGTGCCTGCTGTGGTGTTTGTGCTTGCAGAGCTAGTTTTAAGCAAATGCATCTTTTATTCACATAAGTCAACAATAAAGACCGGCCACCGCATGAAAGCTAATCTGAGAAGTCGAGTGAGAAGAAAACTTCCCATCATTCCCAAGCTGTACTTTTGTGGTTTTAAAAGAATGCTGTTGAATCTGCACTGGGAACAGTGTAGCTGAATCTTATTTATAGCTCTGTTCCGTCTGGTTCATTTCCTCTAACTTCCCTACAGAATGATATGAATGAAAATGACACTATTGACTATGTGGATAACAATAAAAGACCTTATAGAAAGAAGATTTTTATAGTTTCAGGACTAAGGGAATCAAAAGCCTAAGAGTTATGATCGTAGAGAACAGGAGGAGTCAGGCTGGGCTCGTTGAAGAGGTCCCAGTGGTGGATATATTCTGGGGTTTGGTGTGATTTTTTTTGTGTTTTGTTTTTAAACGCATCTTCACAAACTACAAACTCCCATAAATGATGCGAGCATTGAGAAGGACTTACGAGGGCATAGAAATTCTGTGTCGTAACTGCAATTCTTGGTTTCATTTCAGCCGAATAGCAAGGTAGAATTAATTTGTACAATTTCTGCTTTAAAAAAATAAAAATATTATTTTTAGGTATTGTTATTTTTTTTTCAGTTGTTCAGTGTTGTTCAAACGAGCAAATAAATCACAGAATGCTCAAGCATAAATTAGCACAAAGGCAGCAGGAGTCACCAGCCTTAATATATCTGAAGAGGGGATGTATCTGACTACGGGCAGCCAGAAATGCAAAAGCAGAAAGATGAAAACTTAAGGGTATTTCCCAAAAGCACTGCTGTAGGGTATTGTATTATGGAAAGGACTGTCACTTGTAAACTCAAGCAAATTTTTATTTCTTTTAATTCCCTCAGAACCCAGATTATGCTAAATTGTGTGGAAGCAAAGAAGAAAACATGGTGCCTTCCTCGGCAAGCTTACTCTGTGCATGTAAAAGAGAACCATCAAGAGAGCAGCTCTGCTGGTATGAAGATGGGAGGAGATGAGCCAGGAGGGGATCTGGAGGAGCTCTCTGCAGTCGCAGCGTGGTGGAAAGGCTGCAGTGCTCCTTGCATTGGGTACGGTGAGTGCTTTGTCGTGGAGGTGTGTGCAAGTTTCACCTTGGTGTTGCTCCCATACAGCACTGACTGTAAATGTTATTCTTACTCTTGTTTGGACTCACGTCTGATGCTTCCACACCAAGAAGTAGGCACTAATTCCAGAGAGAGTCCCACATTTGCAGGTCTTCAGGTTAGCATACTGAGTGCACCATTTCAACTTACAAGCGTTTACCATTTTAAGTGGAATTTTCTTTATATGGACAAATATTTTCTGGCCTCGACACCGCTGACAAATGATGACAGATAGAAAGACTTATAATAGAAGTAAGCAAGTGCTATGACATCTTCAGGGTAATTTGAAGTGAAAATATTCAGACCATTAGTAATAACTTACAGGTAAAATTATTACACAAGTATATTACGAGCAAGATTACATTCAGTATTAATCACAGAGAGTAAGTACATACAGCTATCTTGTTGCTCCTGCCCTGGCATTTAATGACATTTTGATATACATAACGTATGAACAACAAATGTGTAAAAGAAAATCATTGATATACAGAAGAGGAATTACCACGGTGATGGGTATGTGGCACATAAAGAAGGAAACTTGAATTCTCCAAGAAAGCAACTGCGCTCTATCAGGTAAAATACTGTCAAATAACATGAAAATTTCAGCTTGATTGCCTATAACAAAAAAAAAAAAAGGTTTTCAGATGCTATGGAATTCTATCAGACAAGCTTAATTTCTGGCAGTCAAGGATAAGGACAAATGAAAGCTGTGAGGTACGAGAGTACTTTTCTCAGTGCTTGGTTGTGCAACACTTTCGCCTTGCAGCTTTAAGTCACCCACTCCATATTTACTGAAACTTTACATAAATGGCTTAAGCTGAGGTGAAGGCTTCACTACTTTATACCAATGTGAATTAAATAAAACCAAAAAAAGTGAAACTGGGAATAGGAATCCATAGCCCAGAGTGACAAGCAGTGCCTTGGCGTGGAATGCTAAGTGTGGCTCTGCAATGAGGATCACTGCACACGGCAGTCCTGGGAGCGCAGCATTCACACTGGCTGAATCCCCGAGTTTGTGGATCTTGATTGCACCCAGCAGGGCATCCTGTTGGTGATGAGACAGAAAATATTCGGAGGTCTGTCTCCTCGGTGTAGTGTTACTGCTGGGAGGAGGAGGGAAGGCTAGGTTTTTACATATTTTTCTTCTCTATATGAGAAAACTTCGCCTGCTGCCTTAATGTCTTCTGCTCTTTTTTATTCTGAATTGTATTGCGTGTAAAAAGCAGGGTGTTTGGACTGCTTGCAGCTAGGGAAGTCTGTTTGACTTACAGCCCTGTTTTTAGACACGGTGTGTGTGTGAGTTTAACTTCGCTTGCTCCTGTATCATAAGCTGCTTTTAGGGCAGGTCTTTCTATTTGAGCATTTCCATTCAGCAGCTGACAGTGAAGATTTGCATTCTTTGAGGTGTTTTACAGATTGTTTCCTTACTGCTAGCTGATAATTGGCTTTACTTCAAGTTCGTAGCTGGTATGCAGTTAGTCCCCACTGAGAAACAGCTACTTTGCTAACCACAAACCAATTAATTGAGCAGTGAGTTATTGGACAACAGGAGATGTTCTGATCTTTACATGTGTTTGTGTAAAAAAAAAAAAAGCAGTGCAACAATATTAGCTGTCCCTTGGCTAAACTTAATTAATATCTGTAAGGCAAGCTAATTTATTGTCTGTGAGGGAATGTACCTTCAGATAAACTTGGTGTTACATTTATTCAAATTTGACCACATTTACTTTTGTTTTCACTCTGCCTTTCTAAAAGGAAAACGAAATGACATTTACGTTGCTGTGTGAATTCCTTGAATTTTAGAGTACGTGGTTGTCAGGGGAAGGCTCTGACTGTTGTCATTCTTTGTTCAAGTGCTAAGTGAAAGTTTTGTCATGTAAGTTGAAACAAAAGAGATCTGTTCAGTGATTCAACTTAATCCCCACAGACCAGATCAGGATCATTCTTCACAGTATGTTCAGTGCAGAGCTTTGTCCAGTCTGATTTTTATGTGTGTTGGGTTGGGGCTCCTGCCTTGTTTCATAGCATTGTGCTGCTGGAAAGTTAACCAAGTGACTTGGGTATCGTTCTTAGGCTTGCACAGCGGATCAGAACACAAGTGTGTACGTCTGGTTGAATTTAGCAGCGATAAATGAGGCTGGGATCTCAGTGTTCACACTGCCTTACGTTGCGAGTTTATGGATCTTGATTACAACCAGCAGGGAATCCTTCAGTGATGAGGAAAAAAATACTCAACAGCCTGTCTCCACTGTGTCTGTTGGCCACACTTTCCTGATTTCGAATTAGAAAAGTGCGAGGTCTGAGAGTCAGGCTCCTTGTGAAGATGCCAGTCTTAGAGAAGCAGAAAGGGCAGGGTGGCACTAACAGTACCGTGACTGCCTCCTTGCCTTCTCTGATGGCTTCTTTCCTTCCCTTGCTTTGTGTTCTGAGTTATGTGGTATTGGGGTTGCACTGTGAAGGTCATGAATGTGACCAAGGACTCGCCTGTCTTCGTGCTGACACCGTTTTATTCTCGTTGGCTACCTTAACTTTCAGAGAACAGGAGTGATACATCACCTGCTGGATCTGTCATACCTTTAGAGATCGCAGTTTGCAGGTCTTTAGCCTACAGCAACCACGTTAACATCGCTGTAATCCCCACTGAAGTCAGTTTGTGTCGGAGTGGGAGGTTTCTGGGGAAGTGTTGGAACCTTTGTGGCTGCTTGTGAATGCCCACAGCACAGTCACTGGGGGTTATGTTCTAGATATTGATGTATCTATAGTGCCTGTGCACCTGTGATAGACATTACATGGAATATTCTGACTGTAGTAAATAGCTTCGTGTCTCGTGACTTTATTTTATCAAGTGTAGTATTTGCAGTATGAATACAGCTGCAAGTTACATGCATGTTACTGCTGCTATAATTGCAGTTATTTGATACCTTAAATTCTGGGTGATAACAGAAGAAAGCCCTTTGCTGTATGTTCACCCACAGAAGAGCTGGGTTGCTGATTCCTGTTTCTTGTATTCTTTCTTGAGCTCCATGGGTAGTACAAATGTCCCAGTCCACACCACTTAATTACCATGGTCAGGGATGGGCAGCTGCACTTGGGTTTATGCCTCTGGTGTTCTAGGAATGATCAGCTGCTACAGAACAGCACAGCAAGCAGTAACTTCAGCGTTCAGCAAGTAGACATCATCATGTTCCAGTAGTACCAGAGTTCTTTGGAAAGAGACGTGTGTCTACATGAATGAAATACAGCAGAGGTGCTGGATGCTGGAGCTTTCTAGGTGCTTACTTTAAATTCCAGTTCAGTGATACCTCCTCACCGCCGTGCAGCCAGCCCTGCAGACATTTGTTTCACACCTTTATGGTGAGACCTGGGAACCCAAATGGTGCTGGATGCTGTAGGAAATTATTTTAGTGCAAAAGAGCAGGAGAGAGGCTGCTTGGATGACAGTGATTGCCCCCAGAGCAGGTGTAGACGTGACATCCAGCTGATAGCACAGGAACAAATACCGTGTTTGAATGCCTAACAGCCTGCGTGCACACAAGGTAGCTAAAGAGTCTCCTCAGCAGAGGAAACGAATTTACCAGCAAGACTGTAACACTTTTTGTAAGTGCAGAAAACATAAAACCAGCTTGTAATGCTGTGATGCTTACATAAAGTGAGCAATTCCCTGTCTTTTTGTACGTTTTCTCGTTTGGGGCAAAATGATAAAAAGTCAGCAGGTTTTGGCACCTGTTTTTTTTTAGGCATGGGATGGAATGACTTTGGGAGTGAGGCTGAAATGAAGGCGCCTCTCTGGAAGCTACGGTGGTAACTTCAGCTGGACTACAAGCAGTGAGCTGATGGATGAGAAGCACAGATACTACGTGAAAGAGAAACTGATTAGCGAGGGCAAGATGGAAGAGCTGATGATCAGACGAAGGTGAAAGACAGACAAAATGATATCTGCCAAAGCCACTAATCACTTTATGCATCCAGAAGGAACCCCAAACAACCGCACACCTCTCCGATGATTTGACAAAGCTGGCATTATCCTCGGTGTCCAAATAACCAATGATTTCTAGCTTATTTCAGAAAAAATATCTTGCCTAACGTAATTTAGGGCTGGTTGCCAGTCTCTCCTGAGAAGGCTGAGCCTATCAGAGCTGTGAGGCTTAATAAAGGCTAGGATCAAAAATAAACAAGCAAAAAACCTCTAACTCCCAAACCCGAACTGTTTAGCAAAATCCAGAATGATAAGTTGTTTTTGTAGGTGCTCCCGAACAAAGGGGTCTTTGTGGAAGGATTCCCAGGCAGTGTTCAGAGAAAATCGTAGAGCAGCATGATGTGGAGCACTTTAAGCAGACAATCTGCGTGGCGTGGGACAATGAGCCATCAGGAGCAGGTTGAATAGTTTGGTATAATGGTCTCCTATTGATAAGTTTCCTGTCTCATTAGTGTATTTCCTACTTAATCTGGAGTCTCTGAAGCAGGGAACTCTGTCCAGCACGCCTGTAGCTGGGGAGATGTCAGCACTTGGCAGCTCATTGTATTGTGGCAAAATTTTATTTTATATATAAGAGAAAAATATAGGAGACGTGAGCAAATGCACTCCATGCCACGGACTCTTTGGCTTTCTGTTTTGTTTTTTTAAGTGTCTATTTGCAAGTATTTTGAGGAGACTTGGTAGAATACACTTTCCAGAGCTGAGACTGGGTGGTCCTACACATTCGGGTGTACGTGGGGCTCTCCTGCGTATCCGTTTTGTCTCAAAACTGGCATTCCAGGGGAGTGGTCCTCCGAAAACCATCTCTTTGTGTCTTTCTTCTGCTGCTCCTCCGGCCATCTGTTCTGTTCTCATCCCTGCAATTGTCTGCACCCAAACCCTCTCCTCCTTCATTTAACAGCTTCATGGCCCTGTGCTGGACTTTCTCACCTGCCTGTTCCCTGGCAGCTCCTGGCCCTGCTCCCCTCGGCGTGGCAGGGAGCAGAGCAGGATCCGTGCCCTGCACAGCCTGGGACCTGCACAGCTCTGCAGCCTGCTCGCCTGTTCTTCACACGTCTCCCAAGTGCTAAGTGAGAAGAACACAAGGTAACACTTTAAACGAAACGTCTCGTGTGTTTATTTTAGTTGGATCTAAAAAGGGAATTGAAGTCTGTTGTCTGATGCTGTTGCTTAATCGAGTTGATGGAGGCTGGGGACAATCTCTGGTGCACCCAGACTTGGATACCAAGCGTGTTTTCAGCTCCTTTGGAAAGCTACTAAAGGGAGATTGGCTGTGTTTATGAATAGCTTGGCTGCTAATGGCAGTTCTGGGGCTAAATGACACTGACACGAATTAGCAAAAGCTAATCCCACTCTGCTCTTTGCCTTTGGGTCTTCTCCAGCTGTCTGAGAGCCTTTGGGACAGCATCCAGCGCTGTGCCTGAGCTGAGCCCTGCATCTCAGGGCAGCTGAGGGGGCACATTTACAGTGGTAAACCTAAAGAGAATGGGCACTGCAAGGGGCACCGTGTTTTGTTGCTATTTCTCACACTCCTCTTATCTCTTCTTGATGGGGAGAGCAGAGGAAAGGGGTTGGCTTGGGTTTTTGGTCAGGCAGAGAGGAAAGGAAAACGAAATGGTCTGTCTCCTCCAGCTCCAAAGAAGATGATAACCCTGGGTCCACTGTGCCTTGACAGTGTTTTAGTGCTCGCGTGCAACA